AAAAAAAAAAAAAAAAAAAAAAAAAAAAAAAAGAGTTTACGTTAAGGATATATTTGATGGAGGAGCTGAAAATTGAAGGAAAAGAATAGAAAAAAAAAGTAAATGATAAAAAATAGGTAAGAATTAAAGTGAAAATAGAAATTGTTTAATTAAAAAATAAATAAAAGAAAGTATAATAAAAATAATTTTAAATTTTATATATTATTTATTTTATTATTTTTGTGTGTGTGAACAAACATACCTTCAACTTCATCACTTTTCTCCGCTCTTCTGCCAAGAAACATTTTTAAGTGGGTCTCATGAATAATTTAGAGAACTTATGTGCTGATTTCGTTTCACCAAACAACCTATTACTCTTTTAATGCCATCAAATAATACTTTTGACATTAATTTATTTCTCTTTTTTTCTTTATTATAAATATGAAGATCCAATAGCATATTATCTATAAAAAACACCAACTTAAAATTAGTTTTAAATTTAAAAATTATAAAATAATTTTAACTTCTTTAAATATTTATTTCTAATTTTAACTTTAAAATATCTTTGAAGTTCTAAAGAAAAAGCTATGCACAGCCTTAATTATAAATTTGAAAAGCCTAATTCATACTTATTAATTGATACAAATTTCAAAATTAACATGGTAATTGGTGGAGAGAAGAATTATTAGGTTGGACATAATAGGAGAAGTTGGAGTAGTAGATACAAGAGTTTTATATTCAAATTTTGATGATATTATTATAATTTTGATCGATAAAAATATGTAGGGATATTTATCTAAAATAATTTTTTTTGTTTTTTTACTAGATCTTCATAAAATTCACACACAAAGCTAATTGAATGAATACTCAACTATACCTTTGATATTACTAAATTTTACCTAAAATATTTTCTATTTTTACTGTTTATTTGAAAATTATTATTCCTAACATTTTTTCTTTGAAGTTAAAATTTCCAATCTTTCCCAACATTGTAGCGAAGAAAACACTTTTTTTCCTTCTTTTCCTACTCTCAATTGCTCTCCATGTGATTTAGCTTTATATATAGAAAACTTTATTGATTTTTTTTTAGTTTTGCATGGACTAAAGTGTCTACTTGTACTTCATATTTCCACTTTGAACCAACAAATTTATACTCCTTTAATAGCAGTTCCCCCAAAGAGATAATACTACTATCATTATATAACTCATACACTTACGAAATCTCATCCTCATGCTCCCAATTTCTTTAATCCTCGTTTTGTCTTTATTTCCCAACTTAAAATGGCTAAACTCTCTTAACTAGACTATTTAATTTTACATGGATAGTTAAATATATTTATACTTAAATCTAATACTACGTATTAATCTTTTATCTAAATTTAAATGATCCAATTTAAAGTTTTAGGCTAGCCAACGATGCATCAGCTGAATAAATTGAATTAAATTCTTCTAACTGATTGATTTATTCCCGCAATTAATTCTTCTTGCCATAAAATTTTGCATGAACGGTCTTATTCTTTACTTCTTTTCGTCTACCAAAAACAAATGCACTACAAAATCTTTCTTATTCTGTCTCAACAATCTGCCAACTTAGTACATTCTTTCTTATCTTGTTCGACTTTGAGTTGTGTGAAGTTCTGAGACTTTTATGTGAAGTGCATGTGCAATAGAAACTTTGTCTAATCCATTATAACATGTGGAACCAATATTCTTGCAAAACAATATGCCAACATCATGTTACGCACATTGTACCGTAGCTTTGACCTTTCCTAATTCCTCATAATTTGAGCACTTCCTCACTCCTTCCAAATAAATTTGTTTTGAATAACCCACCTGTTTGCTGAATAATCTATTTTCAAAATCTTCTAGAATCCCTGTTCTTCAGTTTAAGATTCATTATTTCAATTATTTGATGCATGTGGAACGCATTTCTGTGTTCAGTAGATTGAGTGCATGTTTGGGTTTCAATGCGAACGTGAATTTCACGTTTAGTTGAAGAAAAAAATTTTGCTTCCACATAAAATTCATTTTCAACGTGGAGAGAGAGTGTAAAATCAAGTTTGAAAATCCAATCCAAACATGCACCGAGTTATATAAGGCAAAACCGATATGTACAATGTGAATCCTAATAAATTCTTGCAATAGAATTTATATGAGTTTATGGAATTTTATTAATCAAAATTTATTAAAAATCATAGAATCTCATTTTTTTTATTTAACGACTCGTTTATAATGTTGTAATTTCAATAATTTTAATCATTAATAAAAAATGAATTTAAAACATTTAGTTAATTTTTTTATAAGCACAGTATATTGTTATTTTTCTTCTAGCTTGATAATGAAATGACAATTAAAATATTGCAATTTGCAAAAAAGTGTTTACATCACCATCGCTCAGTTCCCTACCATAGAGACCTTTTAGATGTCTCCTCTTATAAGTATTTATTAATTTGGAATAAGGATATGCTTTTATCCCATCCTTCTTATGCTTATCATTCTTTTTTTATAGATTTCAAAAGTACTTTTCTTTTTCGTACATACGGATACGGTATGTCTTTTTTACACTAAGTTCATCTAGTAACACACTTTTTATTTTTTGGTTAGAGAAAATATTTTATAATTTTACTCGTAATTATAAAAATATCATATTATTTTAAATTTATTTTATATTATTATAATTTAATATATATAATAAATAAATAAATAAGACTAAAGATATTTTTTATATTTTTTGTTTTCATTTTATATTTACTATTTTTCTATACAAATTTAAACAAAAAAAATATGTATGTTTTATCAAATCGAGCAACGTTAGTTTTTTATAAATGCACAAGCTGAAACCCAAAATGAGAATAAAACCTACAAATTATTGCAGTTGGTGATTTGACACTAAACACGTAAAAACTTAAGATATATTGATTTAAGCAGGACGGAGCCAGCTTAACTTGAATTATGCCATAAACTAGATCGTAGAATGATCTAAATTATTATATCTTATCTAACTAGTCAATAATTATATTTAATTTAAACAAAACCTTAAAACTCTTATTTTATTTCTGATATGTTTAGCAGACAATGCAATTACACATTTAATACTATAAAAGCCTGGTTTAGATAAGATTCTTCATAAGAAACAAAAGATAACATAACTTTATTTATAAGTTTTAAACAATTTATGTATGTTTAAATAATTTTTTAAAGAAGCTAACCCAAAAAGTTTATTTTAGTTTCTGAGATTTTTTTTTTCTACAAGTGCTTTATAGAGAAATTTATACAAACCTAAACATATACATAACAAGCTTAAATAAAAAAATAATGCAATACAATGAAAAAATTAAATTTATGTACGCAAATAAGGTTCAACAACACGGACGAGAATTGAATTTAACAAAAGAGACGAGTCTCTTGCAGTGTATTAAACTAAGATTTAAATTTTTATTAAAAAAATAGTCATAATTAGCAGTTAATTGTACCTTAAACCAGATTATCTTTGGAAAATAATGCGACAGAAAAAGGAAAAAAAAAAAAAATAGCCATGTCAAATGTTAGTTCAAAACCCGTTATTAACCCAAAAAAGGATCTTTAATTGAAAACGATATGATATTTCCTCTTTTGTTTGAAGAACAAGATTATACTGGATTCAATTCAAACAGCTTTGACTGTCTGGGTTTAAATACCCATTTAGATTTTGAACTACAAAGTAATATTTGGAAGTGGTTAATTTTTAGGCACAGAAAATCGATTGAAAAAGACATTTTCTGGAATAAATTAAAGCAAACACATATGTACAGGAGAAACTCCAAAGTATGCTAATTAGCAAGTATTTTTTGTATTGCATGAGCATGAGAAATTTAAATAAATTTAAAGAAGAATAAATTTTAGAACTATATTTAAAATGATAAAGCATTCAATTAATTTATACTAGATTAAAAATAAATATATTAAAGGGGAAAATATTTAAAATGATGAAAAATATAAATGATTAATTCAAAAAATGAAAAATTAATAATAAATTAACATGACATTTGACGATTTTGACCTTATCTCAGAGAATATCCTAAAAGATAAAATGCTCTCATGAATTTCTAATTTAATATATAAATTAACTTGAAAGTAATTAGTTTGAGGATGTAACCAATGGAGATTAAAAAAGAAAGAAAAATTTAGGCTAAAAACCTATTTTTGTCCTTTATAATAATTGTTGTTTCAATTTAGTTCCACTTTTATTTTTTGTCTCAATTTGGTCCCTAATAAATTAATTGGTCTCAATTTGGTCCCTAATAAATTAATTGGTTTCAATTTGGGACTTCCGTCCAAATTATTTAAACGGAGTTAACTGTGTGGTCACGTGGATGCCACGTAGATGCATAGGTGGATGCCATGTGGATGCCAATTTTTTTGAAAACACCTGGAACCAGAACGGCCCGTTCTAGTTGCACTTTTAGTGTGTAAATTTTGCATCCGGAATGGCTCGTTCCAGGTGCAAAATTTACACACTAAAAGTGCAACCAGAACGGGCCGTTCTGGTTTCAGAACGGGTCGTTCTGGTTCCAGACTGCTAAGCATAAAAGATCAATGATTATGGTTCACAGTTGTGAATCATGGAAGGAAAAAGACTCAAGGTACAAAGCATTTCAAACACTGAATTTGGTAATATTGTCAATGAAAATTGATAACTTCAATTGTTAAACAGTTAGGCTATACAGTGTATTATTAAGGACAATGCAATGTATCACTAAAGACAATGGTAGCAGATTTTATTTCATTTCAAACTGGAGTGAACCACTTACTACCAAATTGACACTATACAGTAAAGGATGAAATGACATAGTATTTTTTCTTGAAGTCATTAACGATGTACCCCAACAACAACAACCTGTTCTTGAAGAGGTAGAACTTGAAGTAAAGGAAGAGGATACACAGGACTAACATTTCACCACAACCATATGCAGGGACAGATCTAAGTTAATCATAGTGGGGGCACTTGCCCCCACTAAAATTTTTTTCATTCTTTTTTTTATATATAAAATATTAATAATTTTATAAAATATATATTATTAATTATATTTTAATTATGTTGTTATATCTAATATAATAAATATATTAATATTTTTTTATATTTTATTTTATTATGTTTATCTTATTAATTTTTATCATTTTATTCTTCTAATCGTAAGTAAGTTGCAAAAAATTATAAAGTGATACTTAAATATTTCTTCAAACAGAAAGAGAAAAAGAAAAAATTATTACTCTATTTATAAGACAATTGTATTTTATAAAAATAAGTAATTTTAAAATTTTTACCATAAATTTTTTTTTTCAAAATTATTATATTTTTTAATAAAATTAATAAAGAATATTTTATTCTCAGTCTTGGAACGGCCCGTTCTGAATCTAGAACGGGCCGTTCTGGTTTCAGGCCGTTCTGGTTTCAAAACGGATCGTTCTGGTTTCAAAACGGGCCGTTCTGATGTACTGGTGCTATGTTAATTTTGCATCTAAAACGGCATGTTTCAGATGCAAAATTAACACACCAAGAATGCATCCAGAATAGCCCGTTCTAGTTTCAGAATGGGTCATTCTGGTTCCAGGTGTTTTCACAGAATTTGGCGTCCACGTGGCATCCACGTATGCATCTACGTCGCATCCACATGGCCAATAATTAACTCCGGTTTAATAATTTGGACGGAAGGCTCAAATTGAAACCAATTAACTTATGAGGGACCAAATTGAGAGCAAAAATAAGAGTGGGACTAAATTGAAATAAACAATTATTATAAGGGACCAAAATATGTTTTTAGCCAAAAAATTTAACATGTTAATTGTTGTGCACCGGGGATTACCACACACACATTAATAAGATATTGTCTGCTTTAGGCTCAAGCCCTCACAGTTTTGCTTTTGGATACTACCCAAAAGACCTCTCTACCAATGGGGACAACTGTGTGTATATAAACTCATGTTCATCGTCTTATTTGAATGATGTGGGACTTTGCTTACATCCCAACAACCCTCAAACAAGGGACCATGGTTTACCCCCTCCCCTGCAATGGAAACTACGAGTATTATCCGATGGTGGCCCGCAAAGCTCACTAACGCTCTAAGTGCTTGCATCGCGGCTCCATCATGACCTCCCTCATGACAGCGAGACACACCTCCTAACCCTCCACCGTTTAGGAAGACTTTCGACACAAAAGATCCCAAACTTGGATCCACCTGCCAGTCATCATACTCGTCGAGCCGGTCACCTGATCAGACCATCAACTATGATATCACTTGTTGTGAACAGAAGTCACAAATTTATTTAACGTGGTTCAACCCCTCATGCCTAAGTTAACAAGGATGTTCATTATTTATTTCAACATGTGTTACATATATCTTGAAAATCCTCCCTTCAAGTTTTATGGGTGAAACTTAGAAACCCCATCCTCACAAGTTTTATGGGTGAAACTTAGAAACCCCTTCCTCACAAGTTTTCTGGTGAAACTTGAAAACTTTCCTTCATATGACCTCCTTTTTCATTTAAGGTGGTGACCCCTCTACAGGTCGGGTAGTACTTCTCATCTCAAGAGTCTCTATTTATTGACCTTACATCACTATTTTAAAAAAGGAAACAAATATCTAAAATAAATACAATATATTTAAATTCTAAACAATATCCTAAAAGAATAAATATCTTTTAAAATCTAAATAATATCTCAGAGATTTGAATTTAAAAATTTGAATTATTTTTCCAACAATTTTTCCTTCAATTAAAATCTTCAAATTTGACTTTGTAGTCATAAATGTTTGTCACAATCATCTTCAATCATACTTTAACCCTGTAATATTTCTTGTCTCCATTTCTTGGGTGTTAGAATCATTGTATGTCAATTTTCAATACTCCAGAGACAGGTCTCCACGCTCCACAAACCATGAGCTTTGAAAACTTAAGAGTATTTAACTTGAGGGTTAAAGAAACAGAGATTTTGGTGGAAAAAAACCAATTAAAAGAGAATAATTTTGGAGCTCTTTAAAATTGTACAACAAAATAAAAAATTTAATGATCAAGTCATGTCTTCTTAAAATAAAGTAAAATTGAGATATTCGATTAGTGTTAAAGACTGATCTTATCGCCCAAAAAAATTTTAGTAGCAGCTTTTACTATTAATTTTTTTTAATTTTTAATAAAATGGAGCCCCTCAAAAAACTAATTTTATCGCCCAAAGTCCCAAATGGCAAATTTCAATAAATAAAAAATTAACAGTATAAATAATTTTGCCGATAAATTATGTAGATGTTCGGCCATTAACTTGATGAAGTGATTAATGGTGAGAATTTTTATCCTAGCTATGTCGTGCCACTGTGTCTTACTAGACAGTGATGGAGAGTCCAAATATGAAGACTTGGAGAAGAAAACGAAAACATGTCTGCTTTGTAATAATATACAGCGCATGACATTTTTGAAAAATGGTAACTCATTAAAAATAATTTTCTTGTGAAACTAGGTACAAAATCCGACCACAAACACTGCACTTGAGATTGCAATCAGGGGTTACCATCAGTTTCCCCATTGACCATGTTTCTAGAATCCTATGCCACTAAAATATAACCACATGCACGTATAAGACCGTGACATGCGCAAACATGTCTTCATCATAAAGGAAACAGGGTTTTATTCATCACACACACATACGATTCAGTCCCCATAACACTATCTAATTTGTGAGCTTCCACGAAACCAACCAAGCAACCATTGATTTTACTAGTCATGGGTCACGTAATGTTCTTTTTGCCTACGCCTGTGGTCTTATATTTTTCTTTTGACAAGCAGAAAACAAAGACTAATTCTTCCAGGTATATTTAAGGATAATCTTTTAACAAATATTTTTTCATACATATATAATAAATTAAGCTCTTATCACATTAATTTAAAAGACAAAATGATCTATCATATCCCGTCCCAACCCAACGTGTGTTGGTTTATAGTCCTCACATTATGAGATGTCAAGACCAACCAACCAACATTGCGGCTGGTGCTTATCCACAAGATGGCACTCTAGTTTTGAAATTTTGTGAGCACACTTGAATAGAGAAACAGAAACAAGAAACACAGAGACCTAGGGGCTCTTGAAAGTTAAAAAAGAAAGCACAGTAACTCACAAGGCCCAAAAGATTCGAGTAACTGGACAGTTTTGTCATACGTGTGGGCATCTACCCTACTTTTAGATCTGTGCATGTCCTTTCCTGTCATGAAAGAAGAGGGATATATATCTATGAAAGAGAAAGTGGCATCACTCACATGGGTAGGTGCTGGTGGGTAGGACCTATACACAACCTGGCATTATATAAATGTGCTGTGGCCCACTTGCAGTGTCAGCAACCCCATGTGATGCTGTGCCTTGTGGGCCCCACTTCTTTCCCCTCCAATAATGGCAAAGACAAAACACATACCCCACCAAATTTACAATTTTACAAAATAATTGCAAGAACAAAGAGACAAATTCTCCTTTAAAATCAAAAAGCACACAAGAGGAGAGGCAAGGCAAATAGACCAATTAGTCTAAAAACTCACTTTTGATTCTTCTTTCTAATTCCTTTCTCTTTTCTGTCTGGGTAATATAAAGGGGTTGATAACTCTGTATAACAACTAAAGTAGAAGTAGAAGTACAAACATAACATAACATATCCAACAAGGTAAAAATCTCCTCTTTAACCCACAGCTAATAAGATTGATTAACAATTATACTTATACACTCCCCTCCTCACTTCTGGCCTCCAAACTCAAGTTACCCATCATGGGGGGATTTGAATCAGCCTTGTAGTTATACAACGGTTGTTTTACCACTTCATCTATGCATGCTGCTGCTCCAGCTGTATACATACCTGTAAGTAACAACATAGGACTAACAAATCTACACTACTAGCGCATCCAACAAATTACAGTGCCAGGGAGTTCCTACTACACATTCACTCTGGTGATTCTTTGTGTGTTATTTTAACCTGTGGTTCATTCATTCGGCTACTACAGATATGAGAAGAAAGAAATAAAGAAAGAAAGAAAATGGTACAACAATAATGCTAACAAAAGAAAGGGAATTCCTGCCCCACTTCCTTTACTGAACTGCTTTTTACGTATGCATTTTGTATGGTAGTAAGTAGTATAGTATTCATGATTGATGGTGATGCCCGTCATGGTGGTGGTGGTGGTGGTGGTGGTGATTCTCTACAGATTTGTCCTCGATTGTTTAGTCATCTTTCACTTCCTGTAAATGTTTCAAAAAAAAAAAAGAAGAATCAACCGACATCCAAATTTAATAAACTAAACAAACCGATCCACCTTCAAGACAACATGCAACAGATAAACTTACAAACTAGCTTTACCTGAACCTCAGGAAACTAAATGCCAATCGGTCCACCAGTGCCGGCGAACATCCCAATAGTTCCATGGGCAGAAGAGAACCTATATCCAAACCCATATCACCAAAATCTCAAAACTCTACATGGCGTCATGGTGATAATAACAATGCTAAAATGTGGTGACGCCAATACCTTGGTATTTGGCAGTTATAGGATTTGAAAGTCCCCATGTCAAGAGCAGATGCTGCTGGAAGCAATGTGCTAGTGCCAAATTTAGAGTTGGCAGATGCAGCTGAGGCATCTGCATCAATGGCCTCATTAGGTCCATTGGAGAAGGGGGCCATCAAGTCTCCAGCAGCTTTTGTTGGGGAAGCAAAAGGGCTATCAGGAAGATTATGCTCCAAACTGCATTTATTTATACATGCAATCAAATTTAGCAAAATGGGAAAACCTGAATAAATGCACAAGTCTTTTTGGCATGGACTGAAAGAGGAACTTCGTGCAAAAAGGTGTTTACTATTCTGGTGCCCTTTTAGTCACCCTAAATGAGAACAAGTTTTATACCATTCTTGCAAATCACGATCCTCATGGCTAGAGCTCTGCTTGCCATTGCCTTCACTGTATCCATTCTCACCATTGACCACCACTTCCTTGCCAACCAAAACGTTGACCGCCTGCTGCTGACCAGCAGAAACCGGTGCAGTACTAGCTGCAGCAGAACTTGAACCATTCTCTGGAATCAAATAGCACCAACAAGCTCAATGAAATCTCAACCAAGGGATGCACCAAGTTCAATTCAAGAGAAGCTGCATTTAAAATGGAATAGAGGGAGATATATATACCCTCTGGAGCCTCCGAACTGATGTGAAAGGAAGGAAGAACAAGATTTTGATTGAACATGTTGGGAGAGTGAGTAGGGGAAGGAACTGGACTTCCAGTGGAGAGTGCACGTTGGTGATGCTTCTTGATGTCAAGAAGTTGCAAGCCCATCAACCGCCTACTTTGAAGCTCAAGAGCTTGCTGCAAATCAGCTTGCTCCTCCAGCTTCCTCCTCCACAGCATGTCTTGAGTGTTGTAGAACATTCTGCCTCCTAAAAAGCCACAACACAAGACACTCCACGTGTTGAGTAGAGTAGGTTTGACTAACACACAATTTGAGTAAAATGGAAGGTTCAACCAAGCATTAACCTACCAAGTTGAAGATCATACTGGTCTCTAGCATCTAGTCCAGTAGGAGTACCACAAGGTGAAAAATCTCCTCTATCCACCTGCTGCTGCTGCTTCCTGCAAATCATAAGAAACATGAACACATTCAAAACAAACTCAACACAATGTCAATAACAAAGAAATGGGTAACATAAGAGTAGAAGAGGGGGTGCCTGTACTTGTCAGGAACTTTTCCCTTCTCCTTGTAAGGCTTAACAAGCACTCGAGCATCACACACAAAATGAGGGTTTCCTTTGGAAAGAATGAGCTTCACAGTCTCCGGATAAACAAAGGTGACAAAGCCAAACATCCTCTTCTGCTGGTATGGGATCCTCACGTCTTGGACTGGGCCATAAATGCTTCAACAGAATTAAAAGAGAAAAAAAAACTAGAAAGTTAATATTTCTGCCATTGCCAAACCATGCATACTAACTAACCCAGGTTAAAGCTAAACAACAACAACCTAAAGTAATTTGAAACATCTTCCTCTCTGAAAGTGCTATCAGCTGGGAAAGTCAAGTAGATCTGCCTGGAAGCTGGGTTCACCATCCCAGGACTGTTCAAAGAAAAATCATTCCTTTCAAGCCTGGATCGTCCAAATTTATGCAAATCCTCACTCATCATCAGAGCTGCAGCTGCCGCTCTGCAATTATTACCAACCATGATTAAAAAACATCTGCACATCAACAATCACAAAAGACAGTAATCAAAACACATGATTGCACACAGTAGTACTAGTGTTTACCTTTGAGTATCATTCTGTTGCTGCTGCAACAGTAGATTCATGCACTTTGGTGAGTATGGAAAAGAGGAATTGGCCATGAGCTGGGAAGCAGCAGCCAGTCTTTGCTGCTGAGCAGATTTGGATCTGAGAAGCTCATGGCACTGCTCCATCATCTCAATCTTGCTAGGAGATCCAACCATTGCAGAACCATCACCATCTCCAAGTCCACCATGAAGGAACCTGCAACTAGTCCCATTCTTACAGTACCCTCTTGCAAAGTAAAGGCATGGCTTCCACCCCAACCCGGAATTAGGGTCCTCAGAGCCCAAACAAGCATCATTGACTGAACAACTCCTGCGGTGGAGAGACCCTCCCCAGCCATAGGAAGGGAAGAGAGAAGGGTCAGCAGCAGAAGTAGGGCTTGAAGACAAGTCTGAGTGAGGAGGGTAAAACAAATCAGGGTTGTTCTTGTGGCCAAGAGCAGCACTAGTGGGAGAACCATCATTCAAGAAAGAAAGCTGGTCTTGGAGTTGAAAGTCATCAATTGGATCTGAGCCTCCGTTAGCATAGAAAGGTAAGGAAGATGAAGAAGTGGAGGAGCCAACAACCATGTGGTTGGGGCTCATCAAATCATCAGGGGTTTGAAGCTCAGTCACAGTAGGCCAAGAAGCAGAAGAAGATGAAGAAGGGTTTGGGATAGTGAGTGCAGGAGGGAGGTTTATAGCACTGAGCCTTGAAGAAGAAGTTGAGTTTTGCCTGAAGAGAAAGGGTGAAGGAGAAGGAGGAGTGGAGGGTGTTGGCGGAGAGTTCGAGGGTAAACCCAACTCCTTGCGAGCTTTCACAATCACAGAGTGAACAAGTGCTTCTGGACCAAATGCAAGCCTTATCATTTCCTTCTCACCATGGTCTTGAAGCAGAAGCATACCCATGATTTTGGAAGCGTTTTCAGGGTCCAAGTTTTGGATCCTTGAGAACACAATTCTAGTAGCCTCGTAACCATCCATGGGTTTGAACAACTTGGTTCCACGACCAACAAACTAGCCTATCCCTAAAAATCAAGTTTTTTTTTTTTTTTTAACAAGTTGAGTCTCTCTCTTTCTCTCTCTATTCTCTAGTGGCCATCTTTCTCACTCCTGTTGCAAGTAAAGTTTCTTTCTCAACCACACACGAGCCCTACCTACCTACCAAGTTGAGATGAGTGGTGGCACAGTGAGTTTCTTTCTCATATTCCTGCAAGCAAAGGAGAGGAAAAGCAAGTTAAAGAAGAAAAGGAGAAGGGGAGAGAGTGAGAAAGTTGAGTGTTAAAAGGAGTATTCCCGTGTGGTTGATTAATGAGAGAAGAGGATGCCAAGAGTTACCTTTGATAAAAAAGAAGGAGAAAATAAAGAAAAGGGAGAGGGACATAAGATGGTGGTTGAATTTCTCTATAAAGAAGTAATGAGTGCAAAAGTTGCAGAAACAACAAAAGGAGAAACTTACAAACAACAACAAATAAGAGAGAAAAAAAAACTCTTTTTTTCCCCCAACTTATTAAGCTCTTTCTTTCTAATTTCTAATCTAAATCTCCATTCTTTTCCAAATTAAATTTGAAATCCAAATCTGAGCAGAAGAGTACGGGCTTACCCATCTGGTCAACTTACTAGAAAAGCCAAACCACCGCCTTGTTTATAATATGGTTGCAGATACAAGCAGAAGCATCAATTGCCTCTTATGTCTTTTATGGGGTTCTGGGCTTGTAGTAGTGAGTAGTGAAGTTGAGAACTCAACTAATTCTCATTTTACCCTTTTATCTCTCTCAAGTCTCAACTCACAACTATCCACCCAAGATTTTCTTATCTCTCTTCTCTCTCTCCCACTCACTCACTCACTATGCCCCCACTTCCTCTTTATCTTTGTCCTTTGAAACACTATGGTATTGTATTATGATGAACAAGCGCGAGAGAGCGTGCGTGTTGTGTCCCCTTGTATTGTGTGCTTGTTCGAGCGGATCCAGATCCCTGCTTCAAATACAAAAATAGTGCACGTTCAACTTCACTTGCCCCTAACCTCTGACACTCCTCCCTATTACTACTAGTATTTAGTGTATATTTACTTTCATTTCTTTCCCGAGCACAACAGGTTCAAGTGTTGATCAGTGAACACAACACACACCCTTTGTTTTGCTCTCTCTCACTCTCCCACCTCGGACTGTGCTCCCCACGCTCCAACGGAATCTCTCAGACACTTAGCATTGATTGGAGAGTGAAGGACACGCCCCTGCTTTCAGTTTCATTGGCTCATCATGTCTTTACGTTGGGACGAGTCAATGCCACCCCAATCAAACACCCTCTCTCTCTCTCCCTCCCACCTTATATATATATATATTAATAAAACACATCATTTCCCATTTCGATTATTTCTTATTTGCTTCCTCATGCCCCACAAGTTGTTGCTCCTCTATCTTTGCTCTCCAAAGGCTACGGTCCCTTCACAATTACGGTCCCTTCACAATTATCTCAACTATGTCTAATTTATTTGTCATCCTTGTTGTCATCCTTATATGACAATACAATGTCTTCACAAATACTATAAATATTTTTTTATATAAAAATGTATATCTAAAAAAATGATATTTTTAATTGATAAACAAATATTATATTACTAAAATTAATAACTTTTAATTGGAAATATTTTTATTTGACACTTTCTTATTAACATTTTTTATTATTTATTGAAAATTGATGAGTTTAATACTACTTGGACTAATGATAAATTGGTAATGAATATGATAAGGTGTAAGTTAGTTAAAGATATTTTTTTTTACGTATGTTATTAAGAATTTGATTTGATTAATATAAGGAGAAAAAGTATGATGATCGAGATAGAATCTATTTTTATAATTTGTTATTTAAAAAGAATTAGTCGGAAAAAAAAAGGGTTGTTTTGAAGGTAGAAAATGAGAAAAGATATTAGGGATTTGTATAGAGATAAGAGTATGATCGCTGCATCTTGCTTTCTCAGTTGTCGTTTTTGAGATACCCCACAAACAAAATAAAAATGATGACTCGATGCCTCTCCTTTTTTATTTTTGAGATACCCTACTCATATCTCCATATATTTATTAATAATTAAAATAAGTACATTTTTATACTTTTTAAAAAAGTTAGATCAACGTCTTTTCATAATTACTCGTGTGATTTAAATTATTTCATAACTTATATTACTGATGAGTTACCAAGGTTATGTTTAACCAGCAATGGTGCCCTGAGCGTGCCCAGTGGGCCACCACCCCGCTAGTTTTATAGTTTTATTGTTGAATGGACACTTAAAAACACATATTTAGTTTATAATATAAAATAAAAATTTATATAATTAAATTATATAAAAATATATTAAAGAAAACAAATTAATTATGAACGATTAATCACAATTTGATTTTTTATTAGTAGACAAAAATTTATTCATAATTTTAAGAAAATAAATTATTAAATATAAAAAGAAATGTGCATTAACTTTTTTTTCTGTGAATATCAATAAGTGTTATCACAATATCACAAATAAATATTATTTGTAACTTTATTTTTTGTCTTTTATCTCTGTTTTTTTTTTAAATTTAGTATTTTTTATATTACAACCTATTTTACAATACTAAAATATTTAAATCAAATTAATTGTAAATCTTTATCTCTTTGACATAAACTTACTTGTGATGTATGATCATTAATTTATTTTTCAATAACATAATGGTCTCTAAGAAAAATTTATAGTTTCATATAAATATATAGTATATTTTCTCTTTTTTTATAATATATATGAGTCTAATTTTTGTTATTAACATTTTTAGATTCAAAAATCAATTTATATTTAAATAATTATGAGTCCATCATTTTTCCAATACGTCCAAAAAAAAATCAAGATCGACTCTATTAACCAGGTGTTAAAATCAAGCAAATTTTATGAACGGAACTTGTGCGTTTGACATGAAAGAAAAAAAAAACAAGAAAAAATAGACTAGAAATAAAAATATGACAGCAAAAATAAATGAGAAATAAAATAATAAAAAAATAAATATATTTTATTTAAAAGTAGAAAACAAAAAAATAATTAAAAATAATAGATTTAGTTACGTTTTTGATTTATCACAATTGTGCAATTTTGATCCCAAAGTTTTGATTGGGTAATTTTAGTTTTAAAGGATTGCAATTATGCAATTTTGGTCCTTTAATTTTTAATTAAACAATTTTAGTTAGAGCAACTCCAATGGGAGTTGCTTGTCCCATGAAGCAACTCAAGCCCCGGTTTCTTACTATTGGAGGACTCTGACGTGGCAACATGAGTTGCTTGAAGAAGAGAAAGAGTTGTTTCCTCAAGCAACCGTTCCTTACCAGATTTCAAGCAAATCTTATTGAACATATTTGGGAACGTTTCGAAAATAATAATGATGAAAATTAATTTCGTATAATATCTATGTATTTATTTTTATTTTATTTTATTTTTAATATCTACTTATTGTGTATTTTTTCTCGTAATTTATTTTCTTTCATTGTAGTGCAATTACCCTTTTTAATAAAAATTTAAAATTGGTTCATAAATGATTAGAAAAAAAATTCTAAAAGTTGAATTTCTTAAAGTTTCTTACCATTGGAGTAAATTTGCGTTTGAGTTGCTTAATACTGACATGGCACACTCGGGACCACTTTTTTCATTTTTCAATGCATGAAGCAACTCAAATGAGTTGCTTCCATTGGAGATGCCCTAA